CTTGCTGCTTAAGAAGAGCCAGGGCTGGCCCACCAAGTGCACCTGAACCAATGAAGGAAAGCAGTTTGTTTCCTGGGAGAAAGGGCCGAGGTTACCTTGCTGGAATCCCAGAACCGAAAGTGCAAGTCCAGCTGTCAAAATTGAATACGGACGATGATTCCTCCCAGACCAAAAGCACCACACCAGAAAGCTCTTGCTGCTTAAGGAGTGCCAGGGCTGGCCCACCAAGTGCACCTGAAAGGAAAAGAGTAAGTGCTTTCTTTCCTGTGGAAAAGGGCTGTTGTTGATTTTCAGGAATGCTGTGCTGCAGTTGCCAGTCCGACTCCCAAAACTGAATCCGGCTGAGAAGTCCTCCCAGACAAAAGGTGCCAGGACAGATAGCTCGTGTTCAGGACCGAAAGCTCTTGTTGCCCATGGAGTGCCCAGGCTGGCCCAGCAATTGCAGGTAACAACCCAAAGATACAGGCTTTCTTAACGGGGGCAATACGCTGTTGTTGTCTTTCAGGAATCCTGCTCCGAAATTTGCGGTCCAAGTCCCAAAATTGAATACCAACGAAGATCCCTCCCAGACAAAAGGTGCCCAGACAACAAGGTCTTCCTCACGTGGAGTGTTCAAGCACCTGTGCCTGAGACCTCGAGGGTAAGGGCTTTCTTTTCTGGGGGAAGGGGTGATTGTTTGGTTGCAGGAGTCCTGCGCTGAAATTGCCACTCCGAGTCTCAAAATTGAATACGGACGAGGATTCCTCCCCGACAAAAGGTGCCACCACAAAAAGCTCTTGCTGCCCATGGATTGCTGAGGCTGGTCTACCAAGTGCACCTGAAGCCATGAAGGAATGCACTGTTTCCTGGGAGAAAGGGCTGAGGTTACCTTGCAGGAATCTAAAAACCAAAAGTTCAAGTCCAGCTGTCAAAAATGAATACGGACGAAGATTCCTCCCAGACCAAAGGTTCCACACCAGAAAGCTCTTGCTGCTTAAGGAGTCCCAGGGCCGGCCCACCAAGTTCACCTTAAAGGAAAAGAATAAGTGCTTTCTTACCTGTGGAAAAGGGCTGTTGTTGATTTTCAGGAATGCTCTGCTGCAAGTGCCAGTCCAATTCCTTAAATTTAATACGGATGAGCAGTCCTCCCAGACAAAATGTACCAGGACAGAGAGCTCCTGGTGGCCATGGAGTGCCCAGGCTGGCCCCCCCAGTTCACCTGAGGCCCGAAGTTCTTTCTTTCCTGGGAGTCAGGGATGTTTTTCACTTTCAGGAATCATTTGCTGAAAGTGCCACTCCCAGTCCTGAAATTGAATACAAGTGAAGATTCCTCATAGATAAAAGGTGCGAGGATAGAGCTCTTGCTGCCCATGGAATGTTAGGCTGGCCCACAAACTGCACGTGATAGCCTTAGGTTCTGCCGTTGTTCCCAACCTCAAATAAACAAATATCTTGCTGTTTAGATCTGCAAAAGTTTCTGAGCAGTTTTTCGGACCGGGTTTTTTGGCATCACCGTCCAGCTATTACCAAACTGTGCTCCTATAACCCCTAAACCCTCAGCCAGTGGCAGATCCAGATACCTGTTGAACACCTCCAGTAACTGTGACTGCACCACCTCCCTGAGCAACCTATTCCAACGCGTGACCACCTAATTTTTTCCTAATCTCTAATCCGAATCTCTCCACTCTCATTGTAAAGTCATTTGCCCTCGTTGTCACTGTTGGACAGCGGCTGTTTCCCGGTTCAAACCTCTGCACAGCCACCAAACTGTCCGCAGCTCCGTGGACGCACTTCCTGATTCTCGTTGCTACCTCACTCCACATACCCCATTGTGAAGCACCTCGGGAGCCCCGAGGACTCAGCCCATCACCGTGGGAGGGTCCCGGCATCCCCGGCGCTCCCTCTGGGCCCCCCGCGCCTCATTCCAGTACCGCCAGGGCCAGTCTTGTCTCGCAGCTCCCACAGGTAGGACGCAACCACACCGCGCTGCCCCAACCCGCGCCATGCCGCTCTCACCCCCGCCGGTCTACTCCCTGCCGCTCCAGCCCGCACCTCCAGTCCCCGCCGTGCTTTTCCAGCCCGTGCCGCTCAAGCCTCCGCCCGCGCTGCTCCAGCCCTCTCCATTTTGTTCCAGCCCCCGCCACTCCAGTCCGTGCCACTCCAACCTCTTCTGTGCCGCTCCAGCCCTTGCCGTGCTGCTCCAGCCCTCTACATTCTGTTCCAGACCCTGCCGCTCCAACCCGTCCTGCGCCTTTCCAGTCCCCACCGCCACCCCTAGCAGCGCTTCAGCCGCGCTGCCATCGCCCGGCGCCGGGCGAGGCTTTTCTAAGTAGGGAGGCGCACCCGACAGGAAGGACAGGAACACAGCCTGTGTGTCCCAGATCGGGAGGGGGGCTCCGAGGGGCTACGCACACACCGCCTGGGCACTGTGGGGGACCTTTTGCACCGGGGATTTCTGCCCTCTGCGAGCGGAGGAGCTGTGCGGGGAGAGGACTTCATTCATATTAATTTAGGGAGTTAGACCTGCTGTTTTGGTGCTAGGCCCCCAAAGTAACCCACACCCTTTTTCCCAGGAAAGAAAGTCTCTAGTCTTTGTGAGTGAGGTACAGTTGCAGTGCAGGGCTCCGGCAAGCTAACAAAACCCTTTCCATGCATATAGAAAGTTTTCCCACCTGCACCTGACACCCAAAAACTATAGGCTTTTTTTCAGACGGGAACAGCCCTAATTTTCTTACAAATTACAATCCCAAAAAGAAATTCAAATATGAAATTTAATGCTAAGCATCATACCTGTTCTCGTTAAGAGTCCTCTTCTCCGGCAGGTTCTCCACCCATCCCCATTTTAAGTCAGAGATAAAAACCACGTGCTGCTGCTTCCAGAGCTTTTATACCTTGTGGAATTGGGCTCCTCCCTTTTCCTGGGGCCTCGTGGGAAGGGAGGTGGGCTCAGGCAGGGGTATATTAACCCCAGCCTTTGCTCAGGGGAGTCATCCAGCAGGCAGGCTTCAATGGAATAAGAGCTCTCCTGTTCTTTCATTGAATGGGAGTTCTCCAACTATTCCTGCTTTATTGAAGCATCAGCTTTGGCATCCAAAGAAGCAGAGCTATATATGGCAATGAAGAGGATTACACTCAAATGCAGGGGTTTTTAAATTTAATAATATTGTGTCCTGTGTCGGTAAGGTGCTTTTCTAACTTGTTATGTTTTTTCTTTTCCTTAGGAACCTTTCATCTTTTGGGATCTCCCAATCATCTCAGTTGCAGCTTGGCATTTTTTCACAAGGAATATGTAGTCCTCATGTGAAGCTACTTTGTGTTGAAGACGGCTACAGACACCCAGGTTTCCAAGTAGTCAGTGGGGGTTAGAGCCCAGAGATGGAGCGAGGGCTCGGGTGCCATCTTAGGAATTACCAGGGGTGTTTTGAAGGCAGTATGGGTGGAAAGCAGTGTCCCGGAGCCCCCTAAACGTCTGCGAAGGCAACCACTGACTTTTCAGATGTGCCCCTTAAGTTTTCTTCTCATTCACCCAGATATTCCGTGCAATTACAGGTCCAGTCTTTGGCTGCAGGCAGTGGCCCTGGGTGGTTTGCCTAAAGAGAAGGGAGACTCTTTCAGCTGTCCCCATCTATCTGGGTGACTTAGGTTAAGGTTTCTTTACAATGTCAGCGGGAGAGGTTGTAAAGCAGAGTTGAATAGAAAAGAAGCCAGAGGAGCAGAGCGAGAAGGT